CCTTGCAGCTGACAGACAATGACTGAATTGCAAAAATAATGAGGTATAGTCTTAGGTATAGTAGATAAGTACTTTGACTTTTTATACTTAGGCTAAGTACACTCAATGTAAGTACTTGTGTACTTTTACTCAACTTGAATATTAAAAGAGTGTGTATTTTGCATATTTTGTCCACCATTCACATTACATTCTTATATCAGACTCCATGACAGCTGACATTTTGTGACTGTTTAAATCCCCCATGAATTGTAGCATGTGAAAGCATCCGCTTTGCTTTTGCTGCTGCTAAATGTCTTTGGTCACCATGGAGATGTGGACCACAGTATACTTTACAAAGCAGCTGCCTGCAGTGCCTCAGCATTGCTAGAGGTAAGACAGTTTCACTCACATCCAGAGCATGTCACCTTCAACAGGAACTTATTTAGTAGCTCAAAACCTCATGCTGTTTGCACAAGAATCTCTATTTAATCTCTCTTCTTAAGTATATTCTGCATTTCTTTGATGTGTGATTATTGAAGTTCATGTGTCATGGTCATTTTATTCTGTGCACGTCTATCACAAGTGCATCTGGAGGAATACTGAAACTGAGGCCTGGAAATGTTCTGACAGTAACTCTCATCTGTATCTGCAGATAGGATTATGAAACTCTATTAATGAATAACCAAATATTGTAAAAACTGTGTGGTAAAAATTTATTTATTTTTTTTTACTGCACTTTACTTTGAACAAGTTCACATTCTTGAAGTCTATTACTATGGATTCCTGTTTCCAGCACAGAATAGTATTTGTGACTTTTTATCTTACAAATCTATGGCCTATTCTGATTCTACTTATCATTTCCAATTCTTAACGATTCACAGTTTTGATTCCAATAAGGTATAAAAAAAACATCAAACATATTAATTCAGTGTCTTTTTGCAAAACATTTTTTGCAGCTGAGTACCATGAACAAAAACCAGCAGCCTAAACAACACTTGGAACTTGCCTGTGGTGTTAACAAAAATACCACAGCAAAAACAACTAGACTAACTAATATAGATTTCCCACATTACTAAAGATAAGTAAACATTCAGTAATAAAATAAGAACAAATAAACAATTTAGCAATATAGCACAAATAAATGCAACTGAACAAAGTTCAGCGACAGAAATTGAAATCAAATGTAAAATAACACTGCATAAGTTTTCTTTTTGCAAATAGAATATGGATTAATCTCCATTAAAGTTACAGAAGTTATTCAGTCAAGATCAGCAATTTTCTTTTTCTTTTGTTCTTTGATTAACATTAATGACACAGATGGTGACAGGCGTATTAGGCTGCTGTCACTTTAAGACTGAATGCACAGATCCAATATATTATTGCACATGCATTTTCTTTCTCAACTGTTTACTTTCAGATAAGACAAACCAGACTGTGTTTATAAGGATATTTTGACAATTTAGTATTTGTCTGCTCAAGCACAATAAGACGGGAAAGAGAACTTGGTTTAGTGTTCGCACACTATATTAGAGGTGGCTTTTTGTGCGTGCGCACTGGATGTGTGCGAAGCACAGAAAACAGCGCACAAGTACTGAATTCTCTTTCACATCATTGTGCTTGAATGGTTTAAAATCACATAAAATTGTGAACACAGAAATCGTTAAGCAGAGTCCAAATGCGCGTCTTATCAAATTCACAGTTCTTGGAAATATGGAACCAGTTCCCAAAACCCAACCCTACACAATTTTTTTCACAACTTTTTTCCCCCCATGTTTACGAGACTACTTCGTCAAAACTTCGATTGAGAAATGTTAACTTGTAACTGCAAGACATGAACTTGCAGTTCTGAGAAGAAAAGTCAGAGCTGTGAGACATAAACTTGCAATTGCATGAAAAAAGTCAGAATTTTGCGATAAGAAGTCACAATTACCTTACAGAAGACTGGTGCAAAAAGAACAAGAAACTTAAGTGCACCTGTTTGAATTAGGCTTGTCTCAACATATTCCTCTAAAAGCAGAAATGTGTATCATGAAGAAGACCAGGGAGGATGTGGTCAAGTTTTGAAATACCTCACACGCCACAGTGAGATACTCAAATGTATCTTCACTCACAGCTGTTTACCATTGCAACGTGTCTGCAAACCCATCACAGCAGCAAGGGCCTGTCCCTACTCCACAGCTCTGCCATAACCAGACCTTTGCTCTTACAGACAGTTTAATGAGAGCTGGCAGCATCACTGCATTCTAAACATTTCTGTAACCTTCACTCAGAACAAGGCCTATGGAGCGGTGGGTCAGAATGGATGACTCTGCTTATCATCTGGAGATGTTTATTTACATTCCTCTAAAGCAGCCGTGTGCATCTGATGGTTGACGTCACAGTGCCTATGATCACTGGTTCAGAGCAGGAACAACCAGATGAAGATGTATATCCTATCTCTTCTGCTAATTTATTAGCTTCTTCAGCACTTCATAACATGTATAAACAGTTGTAGCATGCCAGCCATGTGATATATGAGAGGAGGAATGGAGATAACTCATTGTTTACTGTAATGATGATGCTTAGACAATTTTGCTGGCAATTGCATGATTTATGGTATGTGTGCATGTGTTGTTTACTAGTTATGTCACTAGGTTTGAGTTACTACAGTGATCAAGATTAATCCCACGGTTTTCTATTTTACCATTTATAATAAAACATGTATCTGTTAATGTATATATTGTTATTATTAATTGTATGTCTATCTTTATCTATTATTTGATATTTTTAATTATTGTATCTATTATTATTTTATTAATTCACCTTATTTATTTTCTGGTTTGTCTAAAAATAATAAAATAAAATATTTAAATACTCCTTGGTTAAATCCAAACAGAAACCTCTCTTTCCCTACTTTTTATTTGATTATTTGTTCATTTCTTTATTAATGTCACCTTATTTATTTTCGAAAAAATTTTTATGAAAAAATGTAATTTAAAAATACCTATACAATTATAGTGGCACTGCTAGGTTAAACTCTTTATTCCCCCTTTCTTTTTAAAATTCCTTTATTAATTTCACCTCATTTATTTTGTAGATCGTCTAGAATAAAATAAAATAAAAATATCTATACAATTACAGTGGCACTGCTTGGTTAAATCCTTTCCCTCTGTAAGCACGCTTTCATTTTGTCAAAGCGCTGTGCAGTAAAGCAAACATTTCTGTTGACTCAGTACATGTTTTAATTTCATTTTAGTTTAAAGAGGAAAGATTGAATGTTTTTTTAGTTCTGGTTCAACTCACTGGAAATTAAATGTGCATGACTCTGCTGAATGATCAGCTGCCTGTGCAGGAGAGTTCTCATTTATAATGTATGCATTTGTACTTGCTCTATAATTCAAGCCATTTTGTAGGCTTAGATTCAATTTTAGTATTTCAGTTGAAATCAGCACTCAAGGGAAGGGGCCAGATATAGACGAGCCCTTCCCAGATCCAATAATGTGCAGCGGCGGTGGAAAACCATTAGTATAGCAGGCTTTCATCATACTTATATGGCCCAGTGAATGCAGGTGCGTGTTATCACAATCACATACAAGGGATATCGGAATCATCAAGGAGGGCGAAGGCACAAAGGAGAATGTGATACAGTCAGGCCTCTACAAAGTGATCAGACAGCTGGATTTGTGCGCTGAAGGTCACGGCTGCTGAAAACCTTTCCCTATTTGTCATTTGGATCCTTTGTTTCCTCACTGTCCACCCAAGGCAATCAGAAGCGGTCTTTTCTTTTTCAAAGATTATTCTGAGACACTTCCATGCATGTAAAAGGACACTTTCATTGTTCATACAGAAAGTGTTTATCTTTGAATCCTGTATGGGTGTGACATTAGCGGAAAACTTGTTTAAAATAGCTGCATTCCCTAAAAATAGAATATTTTTGTCCTGCCAGATTCCCAAGATCTGGGCCCAGTTTTCATGTTGTAAATACACAATAGTAAAATTGCTTATCATACAAAAAGTATATAATAAAATGTGTATAAAATTGTCCATATATAAAACTATAAGGTGCAACAGAGGGTTAAATAGAAATTAAGGGTTTGTTAGATGTCAATAATCTAACAGCTCCCCACATGCACCTTTACCCAATCTCTTCATCTCGTAACAATCCCAAACACAATACAATGTAATAGATTTCCGCTGTTCAACATGAAAGCAGCAATCACGCTGGAGTGACCAGGTTAAATGTGAAAGGAAACAGATTTTGTTGCATGTAGAAACCCAGCCTAAGCCTTAATGTCAAACAAACAAAGTTTAATGTCACATGGTGCCTGTAATCCTGACGCTTGGTTCGCAGCACTATAAAAACGTGCTGGCATTAATGGAACCATTTCAGTGTCTATTCTGAAGGCATTAAGAATATACTGAGAACAATAGCTCAAGTGGTGCCAGCAGTCTCTGACTATAGGCAACACACCCCACTGGAGTTTCCAATCTGTCAAAGCTTTTTTATATCTGAAACTAGTAAACTAACCTATTTTTATCTTGGAAGCAATGATTGAACTAAAAGTCAAATATTTGTATTCTTCTGTGTACTTAACTTGTGTGTGTTTATAGTTTAAGTGAATTACATTGTTACTTTTCTTAAAGGTGCACTACATTTTTAGGTGGTTTTTATTCATCCCATTCTGATTAACTGGCTAAGCTGTGACCGTCTTTGTTTGCCTTCAACATTTGATTTTACAGCATTTGTCCCTCAGTGTTAAACTTATTATTAGTAGTAATAGTAGTAGCTTATTCAACTATGCAACACTGCTGGTGACGTAAACAGCGACACCCATAAGGGGGCGACCCGCGCCATGTAAAATAAAACTGCTTTAGAACACAAGTATATTCAATTTTCATCTCATGTAAGTATATATCATTTTAATAATATTTCTGAAAAGTGTTGTTCATTTTTTATGTGTAAAACTTCCTACCAGAGTTGAATTTGCTTTAAGTAATCCAAGCATTTAGGCTAATGAACAACAGCTGTTATGAAACACGATTGAAAGAGGAAAGAGACAAGTCCTATTACAGCATCAGCCTAAAAGTATTGCAGATGAATAATATCTTCTGGAGAGGGCGTTCCTTTTTCTAAAACAGGGATGATTCACGGGCTCGAGCCAGTGTGTGATGCGACTCCACGCAGAAAACTATCTGACAATCATTCATCACAATAACTGTTCTGTGGCACACCACTGAAATGAGCACAAAAAATTCCACAAGACTGCATGAGCCTGACAGGCGGATGCAGGTGAAGAGTTGACTGCGAAAGAGGATCTATTGCATAATCAGACGGAGCACAAAGAGAGGCAGTGAGGGCGCTTCATTTTGAACTATGGCGGTGTAACTTACCGATACATTTTGATTATTGGAAAACGTGACATCTTGGAGAACAGCGACGAATTACTGGATGAGGATAAAAACCATCCTGCATCAAAACTTTGAAGTTTAAATAGTCGCTACCAGGGGCTGCCTGCATTTTTAGGCTACTACCTGTGCTATCAATTAACACTAATCTGACTCGCTTCTGTCATTTGGTAGGGCTTTTAAACCAAAATTGGAAGCTTTTGGAGGTAGGCTATTTGTTTGTGCAGGTTACTCAACTGCAGTCTCAGAAGCCGTTCAAATGCTGGAATGGATTGGTGCTGCTTGTTTTATGGTTTTAATGGCCATTCTCTGGCCAGTGGTGAAGTGTTTTGGAGCGGAGAGTCACTCCACGCTGCTGCTTCCACGGCGAGAGAGCAGAAGACCCGCGGAGAGATGCGACTCGAAACTAGAGGGACAAGGTGAATCAGACGCGCTCGCCTTGATATGCAAACCCTCAGCGCTGGCAAACTACCTTCTCAAACATTGCATGAGTTTTTGCAAGTCTTTATCGATACCAAAATGGAACTGGCGAATGAGTTCGTCTTTGCAGACTGTTTTCGGCGCTTTGTGGCCGTTTGACTGTCCGGTGCATTTCATCCGAGATCATTTGCAGTTGGGTGATGATGGACTCGTGGCGTTGGACTGGGCTGTTGTTGGCGCAGCGCATTACAAGAGGCGCAGGACGTCCAGTAATTCCACAAGTCCAGTTCTGCTCATCATTCCCAACCCTTTTGGGAAAATCACCAGGAATGTGCTAAAGGTAATTGTCTTCTTGAAACCTTTTTTTCCTTTTTAGGAGTAAAGAGTGCGATGCACTGTTTACTGTAAATACCATATCGTTTATATTGACTATCTGTCTATCTATCTGTCTGTCTGTGTGTGTATACATACACACGTGTGTTCTCTTTGACCCATATACAGAAGATCAAAATAACCAGTTATGATCTTTTACCTTTCATAGATAGATAGATATTTAATGCTTAAATAAGTGTTCTCTTTGACACATATTCAAAAGCAAAAAAGAACCAGTTATGACCTTTTGGCCTTTCAGCCTGTTATGCAGCTTAGCAAATTCATAAATCAAATTTGGATAAAACTCATATTATATTTTCGCTATTATAGGGTATTATGAGGCTAAAGACCCCTTTGTATGCAATTTTCACCTTAAAATACTACATAGCAACCAAAACATCTAAAGCAGTTTCCTAAACACCTGTATAAAGCTTTTCTGTTGTGATGTTAATTTGTAGGCCAATCCAGATGTGTGTGTGTGTGCGCGTTTTGTTTTTTAAGAAAAGCTGTTGATTTTAGGAGTCAGAATAAAGTCTGTGGCTAACAGTACTTGGGCACAAAAAAAGGGTATTTTTCAGTCTAGTAGTCCATATATTGTGCATGTACAGGTGATGCCTCTATAAAAATGTGATTAGCTTACATTTTATTGTCCACATATACTGTCTAGGGATTATATGGGGTGGGGTTATATTTAACGGACATGAGAAACATTGTTACTGTACTGAAAGAGTTCAAGAAATGTACTTTAAATAAGGCTGCATTATGCACGGTCTGAGTCTAAAACTGAAGCAGTTAGCAGAAAACAATGCATTACAATCAAATGCACGGGTATTAATCCTCAGGGCCAAGTAGCAAATTAGTATTGAGAAGACTGAAGTACAGTATGAAACTGGAGTACAGTAAAGGTGAAGTGAATATATTCTGTTTGACTGTTTTGCATTTAAAGAGAAGATGCTGCATGACTTTTTCATTATTTCAATTATCGCATGCATGATAGACCCCCTCTCTGACTCTTTGCAGTAGAGTCAGAAGTGAGTCATTCCTCCTTACCCAATTTGGAGCTCACTCCATATTCCAGACCTAAAGCTCCAGGCAACTTTAAGTAAACTCATTAGCTTTCACACTCCATCATGGATGATTCCCAGAGAAATGTACTCTGTGCTCACCGGAACTTTGTTAGCTGTGCATTGTGGATAATATAATCAGTGTGTCAGCAGGCTCCTCTGCTCCTTCTTTTTGTGTGGGGCATGACTGAGAGCAGTGATGGTTAAAGTATCTTTGTAGACAGATTGCATATAAGAGACAGTTGTTGTAAGTCAAATGCCAAGAAGTCAGTGGGATATTGCTCAACCATGTTTTGCTTTTGTTGTTGTTGTGGAAAAACTATTTGTTACACTGGGTCTTGATTAGACTGACTAAACATGTAGGCCTAAATTAGCAGAGACCAAACTTCTTTTTTTTTTTTTACAGAACAATGAATACAGAACAATGATGTAATGCATATATGGTCCCCCTTCAGTTTTATAGATTTGGCAGGGTCTGTTTCAAGGCTGTAATGTGCAAGTCTGTATGTTCAAATTGACACATTTTAAGGTGTTGGTTGGGGTTGAGAGCTAGTCCACTCCAGTTTCCATATGTTTCAGATGAATGCTATTTATGGGGTGATCACTGCATGCTAGGTGAGAGGCTGCACCCAATTTGCACATCGCAAAGCAGTGCTGGACTGCAGTAAGAGCTAGTGTGTTTCCTGACTGTTGAGGGAATTGACGTAAGTAAGGGACATGAAAATACTGTGGTGAGAGGCAGATCCTGTTTCTACATTAAGTCATTTCATTTGCATCTTGGAACAATTAGACATTTGCCATCACGAATAGAACAGAGGAATTACTGTGCTTTTTCATTTTTGTTTTTTTTAGTCTTTTTGATATTGTACCCCTAATAAGAGCATATAAGGATAACAGAAAATAATAGAGTGAAGAGGAATAGGATGGGTGTGTGTTTCAAGCCAGATTTGAAATCTTATTTCTCCTATGAGCACCACATCTCAGTTTGTGGTTAAGTTATGATATGTTGAGATATTCAAGAAAAAGAAGTGATGACACTTGCTCATGGAGATGAATCCTAAATTTTTAGGTACAGTATACACAAATATGTTATGTTTTTGGGCCTGTTCAATTTATTCCTTACATTTATATTATCTAAAGCTCACTGGAATTGAATCCTTAAAAACAGTAATAATAACACAGTTAAATGTAATCTTTTGCAAATCTCAAAATGAATATTTACGTTTCATACTGTATATTGTGTTGCCTAAATTTACTTAAGGATTTAAAATGATTGATTTTAGTGGTATCTAATTTTAAGGTACAGTATAGAATTTCATCATCAGCTCCACCTCAGTGTACTTCTATGTATTAAATATTCAAAATCTTATATTTTCCTTGATCTCACTCTAAGATTATAGGAAATTGTGATATTTTGCACTCTGTTGGATTGTTTATTTCTAAGAATTCAGCAGACTTGTGGAATTTGGCGGCAGTGTTGCTGGTCCTTCCATCGACTAACAGAATTTAGCACAACCCTGATGTTAACACAATTCAGCAACAAAGAAAACTACCGACCACATTATGGTAGCAAAATACATGTTTATGTATGTGTATATGTTTAACAGAGTTATATGGCTGCGCCAGTGCGCCCTGCTTCAAAATGTGTGTTATAATATTTATTTTTACTTTAACTCAAAACTACTTATTACAGGTGTGGATAAGACTCAAGCAAAACAGCTCTGTTTATATGCACAAGTATGACCCCTGTGTGCTGTATCTGGCATGTGACGGTTTCTGTTTTTTTCTTCTCAGCTCTGTGAGGCAGCTCTGAGTCACGGCTACCTTCCTGTGATCTTCAACCGCCGGAGTCAGAACGGGACGCCGCTCTGTACTGTGAAGCTGCAGCAGTTCGGTGACCCAACTGACCTGCGGGAAGCGGTACGCTACATTCGGTACCGACAGCCAGCGGGTCAGATCTACACCGTGAGTGAGAGCACCGGTTCAGGACTCCTGCTGTCCTACTTGGGCGAGTGCGGCTCCTCCAGCTACGTGACGGCTGCGGCCTGCCTGTCTCCAGTTTTCCGCTGCCAGAGTTGGTTTGAGAGTGGCCCGACCTGGCCGTTCCACTGGGCTCTTGTGCTTTACCAAAAAATCTGCCTCAGCAGGTAGGGTTACAGGGAGGATCCTGTTCCTCTCACTTTCCTCAAAATACCTGAGTTTATATTCAGGACTATTTAGAAATGGATTAAACCGTCAACAGATGGATGATGAAACATTTCAGTTTTGTTTTCAAACGTCATGCAGTCTTTTTTTAAGGCCCTTATATACTCACGGTGAAGTTCTGTTTCAATCTTCACTTAAAGTTAAAAAGAAGTTTGAAATACCTAAGCAGTGTTGTAGTGTTAGCGAACATCTAACTGCAGACACTGCTGGTAGCATATCAACATATGTTAATATGTGCTGTGCACTTTCCTCTCAATAACAAAACAAATAAACAGTTCTTAACAAACAGTTAAGAAAGCATCTGATTGGATATGTTTGCACAACCTTAACAATTCAGCGCTCCAGTCAAGTCACATTTATGTATATCACACTTTGTACAATATATTGCTGTAAAGCAAGCAGCTTTACAGTATTAACATAAAAAACAGCGTCAGTGTTGTTTTAAATTAGAATTACAAAGTCAAGACTATAAGGCAGTTCTCCAGTGTGTTCACGTTTTTACTCGTGGACGTCATGTGACTGGTACTACATTAGGACTAGTGAAAAGTACTATAAGTCCTTAAAACTTTTTTTTATTTATTTAGGACTTGATTTTAGGCTTGATTTTAGAAAGTTTTTTTTTTTTTTTTCCTAATCCTATTAGCAATTTTCTGGCTCACTAAATTTTTTTAATATTTATGGTAACAAAAACAAGAAAAATGTCTCCACAGTTATTCTGGATTTAGTCCGTCTCAGGTTGTTCTGTTTATTCATGTCATTCCAGACAAACTGAATGTCAGACTCCTTGTGTAAACAAAAATCTCACTGGATTATTTCAATTAATGGCAAAATAAATGTTTGGAAATGTAAACTGATATTTCCTACTAACACACTACAGCAATATGTGTGTGTGTGTGTATGTATGTATATATATATATATATATAAGGAGAAAATAAAGAATATATTTGGTCAGTTTCTTGTTTTAAGGATTTTTTTGCATTGTTGAATGCCATTATATAGATTAGACTTAAAGTTGTGTTTGTCTTTTTCAAAGGGATTGGTTACAATCAGGTGTTTCTGAAATGAATCAACTTGGGGGTTATCCAAATTAAAATAAAACACTGTTGCCATACTGACTAGCGATGCGCATCCAGTGCTATTGATTTCTGCGATCGGTCTAAACAGGTTACCTGCTTAGTTGTATCTCGAATCAGTGATGAAAACAGAACTCTTCCCTTGCTGCTCTTCTCTATAATGATTATACTCGATATTGTGTTAAATCCTATCTGCAGGTACAAAACGGTGCTCGGAGAGCTTGTCCACACAGACAGCTTATTCTCCAGCTGCTCTTTGAAGGCAATGGAGGAGGCACTGTTCTGTCATTCTGGCTTAAAAGGGACGATGGAAGGGGCAGGTAGCTGGGAGGCGTACTGGGAACATAACGATCCTCTGAGGGACATAGATGAAGTGGCCATTCCTGTTCTGTGTGTGTGCAGCCAGGATGACCCTATCCGAGGGGAGCCTCAGGCCACGCTACCGTTAGAGCTTTTTGAGAGCAACCCACATTTCTTCCTGCTTTTGACTGCCCACGGAGGCCACTGCGGATTCTCCACATCAGACGAGGGCCCGATCGTCTGGAGCCACCAGGCTGTACTGGAGTTCTTTCGGGCCACCACTGATTTCTTCGCCGCGGAGGAGCGCGCCAAGCTGGTGGCCCGGCGGAGGGGTCTGAGCGGGGCTGGCAAGACTTTCCGCCATCGCAGTGTCAGCACATGCAAAAAACTACCCGTCTGCTCGCATAACATTCACGCCATTTACAACTGGCAGAGGTCCTACACCAGATGATGATGTGCTCAGAGGGTCCTCACTTTTTTTGGGATTACAGAGAGACTGAAATAGCCAAGAACACTGCCAGAAAAGGATAAATTGGAACCCTTTGTCTGACCTGCTGTTCGTTGCAGCCAAGAAAACCAGCAGCCGAGTCAAAATATCTCTGTTTACATTCAGGACTATTCAGAATTTGGACTACCTCTGTCAACAGACAGACAGCGCCTGTCTTTGAGGATGTAAAAACATTTGATTTTTGTGAAGAAAAATATTAAAACTGAAGTTGAACATTAGAAAGATGATGTTACTGAATCATAGTTGAATTTTCACATTCAGTGGCAAAAATAACTTTAATTAGTATTTTTTTTTAATAGTATCTTTGGTAATAAAAGTCCTTAAAATAATGTCTTTTTTGGTTTTGGATAACAAGAACACTTGATTAGATATCTCAAAATAAATTTCTTACAACACTGGTTGGTAGTTTTTGGCTCACTAAAAAACCAGCAGCCGAGTCAAAATATCTCTGTTTACATTCAGGACTATTCAGAATTTGGACTACCTCTGTCAACAGACAGACAGCGCCTGTCTTTGAGGATGTAAAAACATTTGATTTTTGTGAAGAAAAATATTAAAACTGAAGTTGAACATTAGAAAGGTGATGTTACTGAATCATAGTTGAATTTTCACATTCAGTGGCAAAAATAACTTTAATTAGTATTTTTTTTAATAGTATCTTTGGTAATAAAAATCCTTAAAATAATGTCTTTTTTGGTTTTGGATAACAAGAACACTTGATTAGATATCTCAAAATAAATTTCTTACAACACTCGTTGGTAGTTTTTGGCTCACTATATTTTGTAAAATTTATGGTTCAAACAAGAAAATAATAGTTTGCTAGTTTAGTAAGTAAACACCAAAAATTATGATTGGATTTCTTTAAAAAACTTTCTTAGTCCAGTGGCAATTTTTTGGCTCACTAAATTTTGTAAAATTTATGGTTCAAACAAGAAAATAATAGTTTGCTAGTTTAGTAAGTAAACACCAAAAATTATGATTGGATTTCTTTAAAAAACTTTCTTAGTCCAGTGGCAATTTTTTGGCTCACTAAATTTTGTAAGATTTCTGGTTAAAAAAAAAAGTTTCATTCAAGATATGTTTTACTTCTCAAATTTATCTTGTTTTAAATGTTAAGATTTTTTTAATACAAATGCTGATTAAAAATATATTTTGCATCATTGAATGGCAGTAAATACTTTAGCCTTAAGAAGCCATGATACATGTTTTTCAGGATTGTTTGACGAATAGAAATTATTCATCAAACGTTATTTGAATTAGAAATCATTATTAAAGTCTTTACTGTCACTTTCGATCAGTTTAATGCGTCTTTGCTGAGTAAAAGTATTTGTTTCTAAAAAAAAAACAATCTTACTGAACCCAAACCTTTTAACAGTAGGCCTAGAGTCTTCATTTACCTTGAGTTGTCCTAGAGACCAGAAAACTGCCCGTTTAGATTTAGCACTATAATTTAATTGCCCTTTTGTGTTCCCAAACATTTGTTTTGATAATCGATTATGTATGCCTTAATCAGTTTTAATAATCGTTAAGGTTATAACATTAGCTCCTAATATGACTTGATTGCTTACCTTGTCTATCGGTGACACCACACTGCGAACAGTCAACAGTGAAATTCAGTTTGAATATTTTGTTATATACAGTATCAAACAACTTTTATTATATATATATATATAGCAAGTATTAAGCTAAAGTAATATTCAATATATGCTGCCGCTTTCGACAATTACTCCTACGTTGATAAATTCCAGCATCGTTACAGAACTGTCTTATGGTGCCATCTAGTGGATAATAGTTGAAAACAGGGCAGTAATCAATATATATATTTAGATTAGTGGCCCCGTAATATGGGTGCTCACTATTACAACTACACTTTTTCCAATCCTAAATATTTTGTCACAGAAACTACTACCCTTAAGGTACTTATATGCACTCTTAAGGGATAAGTAAGGCAATTTTGAAGGTCCTGCAAAAGTCACAAGTTAAAGGTAACGTTTTTCTGCAATAATTTGGTACCATAATTGTTGGTGTAAGGATTGTATGGCTGTACATTTGATTTTATGCACTTGCTAGTAATGTTGGAAGCTGACACCTGTTAGTGTAATATCTAAATACTTTTGGCCTTATAGTGTGTGTCACAATGTTATTTTAATAGTATTTATATACTATTATAGTATTTATAATAATTTTATGATTTATATTTTCATTGTAATTATTGTTTAAGTTTAGTCATTTTAGTAATGCTTTGTCATATATTTTTTTTATATTTCTATTTTGCTTTAATTTTATTTGAGATTTATTTTTAGTTTTTAAGCTTTACATTTTATTTTGGTTTCATTTCAGTGAACAAAACCAATTTTAATAGTTTTAATTAACAATAACACATATGTCAGCAAGGTGCACATTCATCAACACATCAGAGGAAAGGATCTCAAAGTGATAAGTGAATAAGAGATTTTTAATGACATTATTTGTTCAGCTCTGTTTGCAATTTTAGCCATAATTCATATGCATTATAATCCTACAGGCTTATCCTATAACAACCTTTTTTTGTGTCATTGGTAATGTCTGAAGATCTTTATGTTCCATGCACACTGCTTCACAAGTGTGTTCCAGCAGCAGAGGTGGACAGCAATGAAGTACATTTACTTGAGTATTATACGTTTTCTGGAAACATATGACTTCACTACATTTGAAAAACGAGCATCATACTTTTCACTCCACTACATTTCTATCAAGGTCCTTGAAGTAGAAAGTTGTTAACTTTGAAAGTCAGTGGGTGATTTTTTTTCTTCTTCTCCAAAACGTGACACTTTTTCAGACAGTCATACAGTCAAGTAATCACTCTTGTAAGGCTGCGTGAAATGATTTCCCAGCATTTTTTGAACACTGACCAGTTGCAAATGTGATATTTATTTACAGCAATTCAATAATAAGTTAATATTTTGGTATATAATAGAAACAATATTGTCTGATTTAGCAAAATTGTGTAAATGAAAATATTAAGAACTGTCTCCTACCAAAGCACAATAGGTGTTTGACTTCAAGCCGCACTGCACAGACTGTTCTGTGTATGACATCAAAGTACAGCGAGAGCATTTTCGAAGGTTTGTTTTGATGTCAAATAAATCTTTCTGTTTTGCTTTTTTGTTAAAGCACTGCTGCTGTTGTAAAATTATACATTATTGTAAAGGGTTAAGGATGTTAAATGTTTTTTTTTTAACTTGCTTGTTTCATTTCTATAGGTTTTTAACATTCTAAAAGCTCTTCATTCCAAAGACACTACAAGCTAGTCAGTGTATTCAGTAAGTGTAATATATTGTAAGCTGCTTCAAAGGCATAAGGTATTGCAAGTATTACATACAACGCAAAACAGTGCGTGGACATAAAAAAGGAAATTTACTTTTGGTACTTAAGTACTTTTAAAAGCAAGTACTTCTGTACTTTTACTTAAGTAAAAATCTGTCTTTACAATTTTCACTTGTAATGGAGTAATATTTGACCAGCAGTATCTGTACTTTCACTCAAGTAGTGGAATTGTGTACTTTGTCCACCTCTGGATGGCAGTATGGGAAACAGCCCGAGACTATGGAAAGGCAGTGCAGGCATGAGTGACAGTTACCATGACGCAGAGCTCACTCGTTTTGGCTCGGAAAGCGAGTTTATATTTAGCACCTATTTTTAAGCTGAACCATGACACATGCAGCCTAAATAATTCCGCTTTGAAATTCTGAAATAAATGCTTTTGTCCCGGCGTGCATAAAAGAATGGGGTTTCAGAGAATGGGTTTTAACCATGTCATAGTTCAGAGAAGCCCTCCAACAGCAGTACACAGTGTATGCATTACAAGGGTGAATTAGCAGCACGGTAGGGTATCAGTGGGCAATATTGACCCATCACTGGGTGATGTAAGAAAGGCCACATCCGCACACCATGTTCCGCATTAATGAAATGCAATGAATAGCACAACTTAAAGTTGAAGTTAGAACCAAAGACCACATGATTCTGGCTGATGTTTTGTGTGTTTTTGTTGATGTAATCTGGACTCTGCAGAAGTACAACACCTGTGTTATTTGACCTGCCCTTTTGTAGCTGCTACCCAGGTGTGACCATTTCCCAACTCAAGCAGCAAATATTTGCAGAAGCCTTCTGCAAATTCTTCGCATGTGCATGACGCAGATGTACTAGGTGGGGTGAACTCTCTCTCTCTCTCTCTCTCTCTCTAACACATATTATGTATCTCTCTTACTCTATTTTTTTTTCCTTCTCTCTCTCTCCCCATATAATCTCTCAGTAGAGTTGGCTGTGACTTCGGAGAAGAGCTGGTTAACGCCTGTCCCCTGGGCAGAGACATGAGGAGGACTGATGGCAGGAGATGTAATGTAGGGTGACAGGTTGCCTGGCTTGTCTGAAGGGTGCCAGATCAGGACCTCACATTCTTCCAACTTTGATTTCGCCGTGGTTGAATTGCATTCTTTGCGATCTTTACGGCTGGTTGAGAAAGAAGGAGAAGCTGGCTACATTTACCGGCGGCTACATGGTAGTATTGCCCTCTTTGGTGGAGACTTGCATCAGGTTTTTTTTTTCCATTGTGCAACTTCATGCCTGTGTAGCATGATCTGTGGGCACTTGACTGCTGACTGTCATCAGATATACCAGGCACAGGCCAAAAGAGCGGGACGTTAGTTTCCACTGTTACAGTCAAGGGTTGTTCCAAAGATAAAGGATTAAACAACTAAAGTAATAATACAACACATTTTAATAGTGTATTTGCTTTTTAATAAAGGAGGAAATAATTTTCTATTTCCTTCATTGCAGGATTGAACAACACTGCAAACAGGGAACGCATTGCACATGTTTATTTAATGCATTTTACATTATCAGACAATCAAACTAAATTTCAGCCTTTACACAGCTCACTGGAATACTCAACTCTGATTGGTCAGTCGCTGCATTCAACTGGTGCTACGTGCAGGCTTGCGCTCTTGTGCTTCTCTCAAAGTTATGAACAAATGTTGAAAGTTATCTGATCTTTAATAACATTCTCAAAAAAGTTAGTTGCACATCGTTCATGGAAGGTTTTTTTTTTTTTTTTTTAATGTTACTTGTTTTGGAATGCGCAGAGAACATTTAGAAGAAACATTCCTATGATGTTTTCAAAATGATAAAATGGAATGTTTTCTTAGCGTTTGTGTAACCAAGGAGAA